ATCGACGAAAACGAGACGAACGACCATCGACAAACGACGTGGACCATCCGTGTTCTCAACTAAAGCTTCTCCCTTCCTTTTGTTCGTTCCCACTCGACCAGCCGACACTTGTCCACCCACGTGACTAGCAAGGTGCATTTTCGGCTACCTGCTGATACTTCCGATTAAATTTAATGATACATCCGTTTACAATCACGATTTAATAATTGCTGGTATTAAAATAAAGCGAGAAAAAAATATTCAAATTAAGTTAAAAAAAAAAAAAACAAAAGAAAAGAAAAGAAAAGAAAAGAACTTGGATCGATTGATCGAAATTAATTTAAAATGTAATATTAAAAAAATAAATGTAATATTAAAAAAATAATAAAAATTACATTACATTATCCTTCATATTTGCATTTGATATTTGCTGAAGATTAACATCTTGTACAGATACATTGATATGAATTTATACATATATATATATATATATATATATATATATATATATATATATACCCTAAATTAAATATAATAATATAATAAAATATAAGTATTTAAACAAAGTAATTATTCTCCTAATAAATAAATAATTTAAGATATGTCACATATTATATTACATAATCAAATATTAAGTAAGAATTTAAATAAAGTAAAAATAATTATTATTATAATAAATAAATAATTTAAGATATGTCATATAATATATAGATAAATTTTTATAATTATTCTTATTATAATTAATAATGTGATTGGGTAATTACCTTCTAAATTATAACTGATAAATAATTAATATTTATTTAAAAATTAAGATTTTAGAATATTTAATTATTTTATAATGTAGTTTAATTAATATCAAATGTATTATAATGTAGGAAAAATTATTTCAGATAAGATATTTATTAAATTTAAAAAAAAAAAATATTTACAAATTTAATAATAACATAAATATAATGTAGAAATAGTTAATTAATTAATATACTACATATATATATATATATATATATATATATATATATATATATATATATATAGGGTGTTCAAGAAAACATTCAATATTTATACAATACATAGAATATACTATATAATAATAACAATAATAATAACAATTATAATAATAATAATAATATATATTTAATAAATATATTTAAGTTATAAAATATATTTATTAATAAATTATTATTATTTGTATATATTAATAAATTTTATTATACATATATATATATATAAATTTTATTATACATATATATATATAATATTATTATAATATAATAATATTATATAAAAATAAAAAGTAATTATTAAAGGAATTTACATATATATATATATATATATATATATATATATATATATATTATATATATATATATATATATGTATTTGTTTTTTGTTCAAAGTGCTGAAAAAAAAAAAATATTCAATATTTATATACGGTACATAGAATGCATTATATTGAGTAAAAAAAGTCTTAGTAAACATAAGTCAAAAGGTCAATCGTTTCTAAGATATAAACATTTTTGTATGTTATTATTATGATTAATTTATTAATAGCTATTCGATTTACGGAAGAAGTTCTACGTATTCTTCTTTCATTTCCACGCTTGACATCTTTCTCTAAGAGAGTCACGAACCCTCTCGGAAATTCCACATCTCTGTTTAATGATCTCACAAGCATTGCAGATACGATTTCATAATCTTCTTGTAAGTTATTTATCGGCAAAGAATACATTTTCCTTTTTAAATATTCCCATAGAAAGAAATCCAAAATGAAATTGAAATTAAAAAATCGAAGAAGGATACACAACTGATTCATCATGTCCAATCTATCTTTGATTAAAATTTATTTGATTAGAGAAAACATTGATGAAGATTTTCAAACAGTCCATGAAATACTCTTTTTAATTCTTCGATCGAGAAACTATGCAAATAAAAACGTCGTGCAATTAAAGTCAGTCGCAAAATTACATTATTGATAACTGACTAATTGACGATGTAATTTTGCAAAATTACATGAGTACATTCAGAACAGGATTTATAAATATTAAAGAAAATATCTACGTGACATATCAATACAATAAATACACGAAAATGTCAATGTGATGATAGATGTCAAAAAATCAATCATAATGTTAACATAAAAAAATGTTTATATCTTAGAAACAATTGACCTTTCGACCTATATTTACTAAGGTCTTTTTACTCGGTTTATACCGAGTATTCTATTGTAATGTTATTATTATTGTTATTATTGTTATTATTGTTATTATTGTTATTATTATTATTGTTATTATTTTTGTTATTATTGTTATTATTATTATTGTTATTATTTTTGTTATTATTATTGCTATTATTATTATTATTATAATTGTTATTATTATTGTTATTATTATATAGTATATTCTATGTATTGTATAAATATTGAATGTTTTTTTGAACATCCTATATATATATGAAATGTTTCTTTTTTTTAATAATCTCCTTTTATCATGCGAATGAATTTTAATATATAAATTATAATTTTAAAGCGATATAAATAATTTTTTCTAACATTATCATAGACAAAGTTAATAATACGTATATGTAAATATACATTGTAATTTTTAAGGGTTCGTAAAATACGTTTCAAATGTATCAAATACTTTTGATATCTCTCTGTGAGAAAGGAAATCGTTCAGAAAGGAAATAAGGAAGAGAGAAAAATCATGTCATAGGGTTCTTCGTAGGAAAATTACGTAGAGTAGTCGGACCGGTCATCTTACTGTCCGGTAACGGCCATACATATGTATATACATATATACGTTCAGTAGTACCTTCTTTGATGATTCCGGTCAGTTTGTCCAGTTCGCGAGGACGAGGGAAACACCGAAGGATATGTTTAATAAAAAGAATACAACAGGAAAGGTTTCAAAACGACGAGTTTTGAAACGGACCCAGGAACAAGTTCCAGGATGGGACATGAGTGATCGAATGGATCACCCTGGTACTTCTTAAAACTTGATTTCGCATTTTGGTCATCGGTAAAACTTGATCCTAAAAAAGAGGTCCAGTCTTCTCTCTTCTACATGTTAGGAATAGTTTTTGATAATAGACGACGGGCGGATTCCCCGTTGAGAAAGAGAGAAAGAAAAAAGAAAGAAGGTGCATAACGTGTTTCACGTTACGGGTCGTTCGTGAAACCCTTAGAAACCTCGTTAAAGGTCATGGGCCGAGGTCACGAACGGTCGTTCTCTTTCTATCTCTTACTTTTTCTAATATCTTTTATTTTTATTATTATTATTTTTATTGCATTGTATTAATATCTTTTCTTATTTATATTTTATTTTTATAAATGATTATCTACGTATAAGTCGTACATATAATATATATATATATATATATATATATATATATATATATATGTTTGTTTTTTATATATGTTCTATATCATTACAATTTAAATAGATTGACAAAATAATTGATGGTTCACTTTTTTATTATTCGAAATTTATTATTTCGAACTATGTACTTTTATAATTGTAGGCACATACTGAATGAGATATTTACTACATTCATACGTTGAATTATTTCTATATTATGCGTTATATGAAAAATCATTTTATAAATGAAAATGAATAAATATTCGATTCTCTATTTGATATTCAATTTTCAATTTTGATATTCAATTCTCAATTTGAATTTAATCGAAGTAAATGTTCGAGAAACTAAGCGAAAATATTTCGTTGACTATTAGATTTATGATCAATAAAAGTCAATAATATTTTTACTTGTAATTTTATATTTTTCCAATCTTGATATATGAAATATGATATTCTGTTTACAGGAAAAAAAAAAAAAGTAGGAAATATAAATTGATCTTTGCATTCTAAAAACATCTTTGCTATGAAACTTTTTTTTCTTATATACATAATTGTATGTAGAATGTATAATTAAAAAATTATACTAATTATTCATGCATCAGATATCTTACTTTGTACCTATTGTTTTTCTTCTCTTCTTTCCCACTGTATTACATACTATACTTTCATTCTAACCTTTTAACAATATAATTATATGCTTAGATATATATATATTATATATGATTAATATTATATAATATAATATTATATATATATATATATATATATACTTTGTTCTATTTATTATTAATATTATTTTTAGTTCATCATTTTAGTTTTGTTTTTTTTCCTTTTATAGTTTCACTGTATTGAAATTACTTACGTTATATCATTCTTACGTAATTATATGTTGAATTAGAATAAATAATAAAATTTTGATTTTATTATATATTATTTCCGATAAATTTCTTTCCTTTTTCTCCATCTCCCTCTTCCTCCCTCTTCCTCTCCCCTCTCTCTCTCTCTCTCTCTTTTACTTCTTTTTCTTTACTTTACACAAAACACCTACTTCATTTATTATCATTATTATATTTATCTTCATTCGTTCTTTAATCTCTTATTTCTTTTTTTTTTTTTTTTTTTTTTTTTAATTCTTCATTTGCAAAATATAAAACGTAACAGATCACTAATACGAACAAATCAATAGTTCATGATGAAATCATCGACGTATTTCCGATCGATTAGCCTTGCTTAAAAAAACACTTTGCTTACGAAAGTCTCCATTTGATAGGATGACACGTGACCGAAAAAGAGAAAGAGAGAGATAAAGAGATAGATAAAGACAGAAAGAGAAAGAGAGAGAGAGAGAGAGAGAGACAGAGAAAGAGAGAGAGAGAGAGGGAAAGAGAAAAGCAAAGCAGTCAGAGAGAATAAAAATAAAACGAGACGAGTGAGCGTCAACAAACGCCACAGAAGCGACTGGTACGACGATAGGCGTTATAATTAAAGCGATAAATTGCTCATGCGAGACGATTCTTGCTCGCAATAAACCCGATACGATTTTTATGTACTTACATACGTATAAATATATACATATATATATATATATATATATATATATATATATATATATATATATAAAACGTTATATGTTCGCCTTATGCAATCGTTCTTTCATGGAAATATTTACTCCTCCTGAAATAGTTTCAACTTCGAAAATCTAGAAGAAGAATAAGGAAGAACAACAGCAATGAATTCCTTTTCGAATTCCACCCTCTTTGATTCTCCTTCTCTTCTATGAGTTATATCGCGTTCATTCTTGAAACATACGTAAAGGAAAGAAGTTGGTTGGACTCGTTGGTTGGTTGCCTGGTTGGTCGGTTTGGTCCTGGAAAACGAATCCTCTCTTGAAATTAATGTCGTGGAAGGGAACGTGGCGTGGGGTGATGTTGGATAGACGAAAGAGAAAAGAAAAAAGGAAAAATAGAAAAAAGGAAAAAAAGAAAAAGAGGAAAAACGAAATATCGGGTCTATCATGGGACCGTATAGTTTCCTATTTAATGTCGTCCTCAAATTTCACTTGAGGGTGGTACTCCATTGTCGTGCGCGTGAGCGAATGACGGTAAGAAAGAAAGAAAGAGAGTGAGAGAAATAGATAGATAGATAGATAGAGACAGAGAGAGAGAGAGAGAGACGGGGGGGGGGGAAAGCGAGAAGGTGGTTGTAAGGGCATAGAACTATTCGTGGTCATCGAATGTATTGGGTTCTTCTTGGGTCGATGTAGAATGGACACGGTGTTTGTTTGTTCCGGTCTCGATGTCACAACACACCCACTACAGACAGACCACAGCAGGGTGCTAACTAGTATCCTATAGTTACCTATCGACCCTTGACCGGTATACTAAGTGCCGATACTCCTCGGAAACTTTGATGCTTTCTCCTGTCTTGATATTATGAGCGAAAAAAAAAAGAAAAAAAAAAAAGAAGAGAAAGAGAGAGAGAGAGAGAGTCGAATTAATGAGCAAAGGAGAGACATCGAAGGAATCTCGAAATAAAAAAAAAAAAAAAAAAGAAAAGAAAAAAATAAAAAAAATAAAAAAAAAAGAACATAAATAAAACCCTTGCTGACCACGATCGGAAACATCTGTTCGCATCGAACAATGAACGGATTTCTTCTAGTCGCTCCGACGGCTTTTCCCACATGTGCAAATGCGAGCATAATGCACGAACGAATGAATCCTATAAGGTAGCTGACCACATGCGGTCGATCTACCACGGAATCAAAGTCCTAATCCTTAAAAGAGAGAGAAAAAGACAGAGACAGAGAGAGAGAGAGAGACAGAGAAAGACAACATCGAGACAGGCAATTCGTCGTTTATTTTACAAACCCTATTCCCCCACTCTTCTTCCTATTTCCTTCCGTATCTCTTTCCGTTTTACTCTCACGGCCCTCGACAAAATTCAGATTTTCCTGAATTTTGTTTAAAACGTTTATGAACCGTGTCCGAGGGTTGCGTCTCCTATAATAAGGAAAAGAGAGAAAGATAAAGGAGAGGGGAGTCGATCTCTTCGACCCTGACAAGTTTACGCAGCCGGACATTGAGATCAAGACGAGGAAAGGAACGAACAGAGAGAAATAGAAAGAGAGAGAGAGAGAGAGAGAGAGAGAGAGAAATAGTTTTCCCATATAACCACAGCGTAACGCAGTAAATCTCTCCCGAAGGAAAATAAAATTCCTATGTCACGTTCCGGATATTTCCTCGTGTGCTGATTCGCGGGAATGAGTTCGATTTAATCGGCTATGGAATTTTTCTCAAAAAGAAAACCGATCACGGAGTGAAAAAGAAAAAGCATAGCTATCTCTCTATCTATCATTTGTCTCTTTCTATTATCTATACATAGTACATTAATTTCATATTTTTGTGTGTGTGTTTCTTCTTCTTCTATTTTTTTTTTCTTTTTTTTTCTTTTTTTTTAAATAATCACATAAAAATAAGTTTTAGAGGAAGTATCCCACGATGATAAAAACGGGATAAACATATCAAGACATAGTTACTTTTTGGTGACGATAAAGAATGCTTAGTTGACACTAAGGGAGAACGATAATAAACTACTTTAATGGGCACCGAGTTACTACTTCTAGTTGAAGACCATACTGGCTCTCCTTTTACCCTAACTCACGAAACGGTAAATCATTCTAATCGAGCGTACAACGTTTATAAACGTCGTCTCGGTATCGTATCGAGACGCGATGATCTTCGGGCTTTCCTCGAAGCAACTGATAAAAATCGAAAACCGTCACTAAACGCGGATAGATGAGTTATAGAGATCTAGGAAGACAAAAAGGTTCGACGAAAGAAAGAAAACAAGTGGTCGTGATACAGTAGTTCCCTCCCTCTCTCTTCTTTTTCTATCTCTATCTGTCTATCTATTTTCTTTTCTTTCTTTTTTTTTTTTTCTTTTTTTTTTTTCTTCTAAGCGAATACAATACCCCCAGTGTTTGTTCGGTTTTAGTATAAAAGGGATCGACTTAAGGATCATAATTTTTTTGAAAAATTTTCGTTCGATTATTTTCTTCATGATTTTCGTCGAGATTAAATGTCATTAAATGCGTCATCGTTGAAAATAAAAATCGTTCGATCATATTCGAGACATTAGATAGATGCGTTAGGGAAACACGCGAGAGAGAGAGAGAGAAAGAGAGAAAGAGAGAACTCTGCTCTGTTTCTCAATATTTTCTTTTTCTCTTTTTTCCTCCTTTCTTCCTATGGTCTCCCTCAAGAAAAAAAAAGAAAAAGAAAAAAAAACCACATTAAACGAAGTCACGGTTCGTGAGTTTTTAAGGGCATTTATGGGCATTCGCCCGGTTATTTATGTGTCCGCGCGACAAGTGTCTCAGGGTCGATCTATCGAGAGGGGTTTCGTGTTCTAACTTCGAACTTGAGATCGATAATGGCAGAGAGGTCGTCGAAAAATGTTCCTTCTCGTAATGACCTATATGCCCATTCGAAATTTTTTTTATATACATATATATATATATATATATATATATTTTTTTCTTTCTTTTTTTTTTCTTCTACAATCATTTTTAAAGGATTAGAACGTGAAATGTTAATCACCGATTGGATTAATTTAAAAATTTATTATTAGTATGATCTTTCTCATTTGATATGTAATAAAAGGTATTCGTTGATAGTCGGTAGACGAACCGAAGAAAACAAGATCGCGAAAGAGAAGCCACCGGGAAAGTATAATTCCGTTGTCCGTCGTGGTTCCCCGTTGAATACGACAGTGATTGCCATCGAGTAGAAAGTATAATTTATTCATTGCGGGACATCGTCCCAGTCGTAAGGATTTTCCTTAGTGATTTTACGGATTGATATTCAACCATCGCCGCAACGAATCCCGGTGGCCGAGCTAGAAATACACGACGATAATGGCGCATTGTTTCATTAATTTTATCTTTCTACCACCCTGTCTTCAACCATCTACCCTTAACCACCCATCAACGAAATCCCGCCCACTTCTCGCGTCTTCTTCGTTCTCAAACGAAATTAATTATATATAAATAAATCTACAAGTGCAATGTAGGAATATTTCCAAAAGAAAAAAAAAAAAAAAAAAAAAAGGAAAAAAAAAGACAAAGAAGAAGAAAAAAAGAAAGGGAAAATAATACGTAAAGATATTCAATTTAATTTATCGAGTACGATTTCAAATTAATTCCGAGAAAAAATTGACAGATCCCTTAGAGATTCGATTAATTGACAAACAATTTCTTATGCGAAGAATGGAGAACGAATTTCGCGATAGGGAAAAATGAAAAAAACAGAAAGCGGCTCGTTTGCTCATCGACACACTTTGTAACGAGAAAATCTGTTTCACCAGATACAAGCCTGTTTCTATCTTTTTCTCTCTTTCTCTCTCCCTCTTTCTCTCTCTCTCTCTCTTTCTCTCTCTATCTATCTATCTATCTATCTATCTCTCTTTCTCTCTAGAGCTCTCTCTATTCGTGAATATCCGCGTGCGCGCGTAGAACGAGCCTTAATGCGGATTTCGAATGGAGAAGCGCGGATGATAGTACAGGTGCGGTGTGCGTTCGCGTTTTCCACGTTAGGAAGACGCAAAAGAGCCGAACGCTGTCGAGCGTCATGGCCGGCTTTCGCGAATCCACATTTTGCGAAAGAGCCGAGAGAAACGCGATTTTCCGTGTCTCCTCCTCCTCCTCTTCCTCCTCCTATCCACCCCTTCCACCTTTTCACCATTTCGCTTTTGCCCTCTTTTTTCGACATAGTTGTGAGTATGTACGTACGTACGTTCGTATGTATATATATATATATATATATATATATATATATGTGTGTGTGTACATATGTACATCGACTCCTATTTGTCGTCGTCTAACGAAACTCACTAGGAAACACAAAACGTTCTCTTTCATTTTTTATTTTCCCTTCCTTTATTTCTCTCCTTCTGTTTAAATCATGCCTTTAGAATTTTCTTTTATTAAATCGTTAGTTTTTAATATTTCCTTTTAACCCTACTTATCGTTCTATTAGTTTCAAAATTATTACATTATTTTTCATTCTAACGTATTTGAAATAATCTCATATATTTTAATATAGATATTTCTTTTCAATTGACTTTTATTATCATAGTTATTATTTTATTATCATATTTTATTATCATAGTTAATATATATATACATATATATATATATATATATATATATATATATATATATTTAATTATTTTCTTTTTTTCGATTGGATTTATTTTATTATAATTGGTGTGTTAAATTCGAAATGATTTTTTCAATGAGGGAATATCAATTTTTAACATAAAGTTTCGTTAATAATCATGACAAATTTTTCTAAAAGAAAAGAAAAAGAATAAATAATATCGAAGTGCCGTATCGATATTATTACGTTATATCTCATTTACATGTATTATCTTTTTTGTTCATGTAACAGCGTAATAAATTTTTTTTTTCTTTTTTAAATAGTACAATAACAATACAATAAATCTCTTTAAAGAGATTGAAAATTCATTAGTACTGTTTCTTTTCTTTCGAAACAACAATGCTCACGTATTACAGTATTTGTCCTTGTCTGCGTATTCGTAATAAAATACATTATCAACGTTATCGAAGATAAGGGAATTTCAATAAAGAACGATCGAATGTCGGCCATTGATATTAAAAAGGTTCTACGGAATTTATAATGGGACGATCGATATCGATAAGCGCTAATGTTTTCCATTGAATACGATTCATCCTTTCTTCCTTTCTTTCTTTTTCTCTTCCTTCTTTATTTTTTTTCTTTTTTTTTTTCTTCTTGTTTTTTTCTTTTCTTTTTTTGTTTCTCAAGGCGTTGCATATGCACGAATGCA